AAAAAACATTTTAAATATCTCGACATTTTTAAGAAATTTTAAATTACAAATGGACAGCTGTGTGCCCAACATGACGATCATGGAAAGCATGGAGGGGGTAACGATGTCGCCTCTCTGATTATATAGGACTCTACATCAGTCATATTACATATCCAGCTCCTATCCTTTTCTTTCTTACTGATTCCTACTTAAGTCATGCATGCGCAGATGTTTACTTTTCAGGATGCGAACCCATGCAGCGGAATAGCGTAACGCGTAACGAGAGCACAACCAATCGCGAGAGTTCCGCAGTTTTTGCTACGTGGATTACAAGCCCCTATATCCCCATGGAGCATAACAAGCGCACCGCGGACCAACGCGCAACCAATCACGAGTCATTATTTTAAAAGGGTTAAAACCGCGTTGAAACTTATTTAACTTATTTAACATTTTTAATCAATATTTCCAATAAGGACGCATTCATTTCAATATTTATGAACATGATAATAAAAAACGACCGATAAAAACAATTAGTAAAATATAGTGATTAATTGAAACGAGTTGGGTTAATCCACTGATCTATATATCTGGATTGCTGATAGGCCTCCTGGCGATGTATCCAATTGAAGGTCCGCCATTTTACACACCCGAGGTGCGCGCATGCGTGGTGGTGCTCTAAGTGATACCAATAAGTGCAGATTATGGATACCGCTTAATAAACTTTTTAAGAGTTTTTTAACTTTTAATTTTCTTTTTAGCTTTGTAACAGCTGCACACGAAAAGGAAGGTTCAACTATGGTAACAAAAAATGATTAAGAAATTGTAAATATTAAAAAATAATCCAAAATTCCTCGAATCATGACAAGTTGATTGTATTATCGCAATTAAAACGTATGATAGGAACCTTTATTGAATGAATAAAGAATTATTGTCTTATTAATCTTGTAATATTTTGGTTTATTTTATGATCTGTTACATCGTTTAATCCTGATTTTTTAAATCAATAACAGCAAAAATGTTACGTAAACGTAAGTTTCAGTTACAGTCTTACATAGACCGTGGTTTTAGTCAAACTCATATGAATTTCCCACGATCGGAGACAAATTGCCGGGTAAAATGACGGCGTCCATTTGGGGACGCTTTTGAGTCCTAAGAACAAAGGCGATCGGCAATCCAGATATATAGATCAGTGGTCTGTACTTTAGAACATATATAAATGGAAGGGGAATAGCAGGCTGAAAAGTGCCGGAAGGAAGTGAGAAAGAAAATCGTAGTTGCTTCTCTCTTGTGAGTAACTACACATACAAGCATCGTGTCTGTAGATATACATACTTTTGTGTACACACACATGTGACTAATGTAACCTTATTTTTCATTTCTTTTGAGTAGTTACTCACAAGAGAGAGGCAACTATGATTTTCTTTCTCACTTCCTTCCGACATGTTTTTCTATCGGGAAACAAAGGCATTCCCCTTCTATTTATATATGTTCTAAGTCTGTACACATCAGCCTAGAGTCCTATATAATCAAAGAGGCGACAATAGCGTCTCGCTTGCTGATTGGCTGACCGCCATGGGCCCGTTCCACTTAACGACCGCAACGCTCACGGTACCATTTCATTTTTGTTGTTCACCGAAAGTTAAACAAAGACACATGATGTTGCGGTCGTTAAGTGGAACACGCCCTATGTTGATCCCGTAGTGAATCCTACGTGCAAACTAATCGCAACCGACATACCGTAAGTGAGAAAAAAGTATATTTGTAATGTTATTTTCTAAAAAAAAAAACATTTTAAATATCTCGACATTTTTAAGAAATTTTAAATTACAAATGGACAGCTGTGTGCCCAACATGACGATCATGGAAAGCATGGAGGGGGTAACGATGTCGCCTCTCTGATTATATAGGACTCTACATCAGTCATATTACATATCCAGCTCCTATCCTTTTCTTTCTTACTGATTCCTACTTAAGTCATGCATGCGCAGATGTTTACTTTTCAGGATGCGAACCCATGCAGCGGAATAGCGTAACGCGTAACGAGAGCACAACCAATCGCGAGAGTTCCGCAGTTTTTGCTACGTGGATTACAAGCCCCTATATCCCCATGGAGCATAACAAGCGCACCGCGGACCAACGCGCAACCAATCACGAGTCATTATTTTAAAAGGGTTAAAACCGCGTTGAAACTTATTTAACTTATTTAACATTTTTAATCAATATTTCCAATAAGGACGCATTCATTTCAATATTTATGAACATGATAATAAAAAACGACCGATAAAAACAATATTTAAAAGTCATTTTAGATACGTTCTGCTCGTTCTGCTTGCGCTTATTCCGCTCCATGGGGATGTAGGGATTTGTAATCCACGTAACGAAAATGACAGAACTGTATGTATGTACACATATACTTTGTTAAATTGGCAGCGTAGAGCAACGTGGTCAGTACAGAAACAGAGATAAATTATTAATCATTACAAGTTATTACTCATTTTTGAGAGATAAAGGAAAATTTTGAAGTTAGCTTTTACTACCATGTGTATATGTATAGATGTGTATGTACATTACGCGATCTGCAAAACATATTCCGCTAGAAACTATTGAAAACGAAACGAAACTGTGGAATGCTCGTGATTGATTCCGCTCTCACGAGCGGATCGCACACTCATACATATGTATAGTCGTATCTTTACATGTATATGTAAAAAAAATAATTAATATAATTTATTATATTTTATATAATATAATTTAAATGATTAAAAAAAAAGACTATCAAAACAAAATTATATACGTGCAGTAAAAATGGAAATAAACATCCAAGAGATAATATACACATTAATCTAATTTAATATATCATAATTTATTTACTTCTATTTACTGTAAACTATTTTTCACTATTTCCTTTATTAAAATTTTTGAAAGTAACACTAACAGCAGTTTTGAAACTTTCACTTTTTACTTCATTAATATTTGCAAACAACTGGCTTCTGAAAACATTACTTTTTAGGTGCATGCGTGCTTATGTGCGTGTGTTCAGTAGAGTTCCTTTAATCAGAGTTAGGACACGTATATATATATATATATATATATATATATATATATACTTAATGTTACGTATATTATAGATTTTCAGTACTGGCAGTGAATTTCGGAATACAGCCTTACTTACGATTCTATTGTAGACCAGGCCGCATTTCTGTTTTCGCTCGTAAACGGGAATGGACGTGTTCAAACGCGCGTGTCCTTTGTCTGGACTTTATTTTTGAGTGCCGATCAAATTCTATTTGATAAACCCGATTTGCTATTAACCAACCAGTTTTGCAGCTAAGTCGTAAGACATTGACCAACAGTTGAATGTGAGGAGAATATCGACTGTGATTGATCAATTTCTTACGAATTACGACTTTATTGTAGGGGGCTTATAACGGTTTTTGAAACGAAGTGAAAATTACAAAAGTGAGGAAATTCACTAGAGTATCTACAATTTCATTTGTCAAAATCTAGTAAATCTATTTACTTTTGTAATTTTCACCTCGTTTCAAGAACCGTAATAGGCCCTCAGGCCTACCACGTAAAAAAATTTTAGTCGTAACCGTAAAGGTATATCCAGACAAATTTGCGTAGCGCAAAAACATATGCATAAAAAATTTAAATGGTCCATATATGTGTATGCATAAGGAAATTAACCAATCCAGTACGATTGACCAATCGGAGAGTCCTAGTATGCAACTGGCCAATTAGCAATGTGGGCTATATCGGATCCCGTCCATCTAGCTTTGCATATATGACCTTATGTATCCGGTTCCGGATTATTGTCTGATAAGAAATTAATTATTATAAAATAAACTATTATTTCCCAAACGTTGAAAACATTACAGACGTGTTCCCCAAATGATTTCATGTTGATTAAAATAAAAAAAAAAATTTTTTTTAAATTATGTCTGCTATACTCCGTCTAGCGAGAGAATAACCTCTGTCTGTGCATAGGCAGGCAAAGTGGGGAGAACATGGCGAAGTACTCAATATCGTATACGTAGATATGGCTCCCTCGGGTCCGGGATTATTATTTCAGTTTAGAAAATTAAATGGATGAAATAATCTTGATTAATTTCAATATGATATAAAATCGAACTCTTACACGCGATACGAAATTAAAATAAGAAATAATATGACAGGCAACTACAAGAGTAAGAGTTGTAATATATTTAAATTATACAGTCGGGGGACCTGCCACTTGTTGCTAGCACTGGCAAGCTGCATGAGCAATATGGTGATGCGGTGGGGGTTTTCTAGGCGTTCTGTGGGAGGAGACCTGCGCGAAACGGACGAGTTTTCGTCTGATCCGAGGTTATTCTCTCGCTGGACAGAGTATAACTATACGCTTAATTAATTTTTCTTTATTATAAATAAATTATTATTTCCTAAACTATGAGAATATATTTCTAAATTTGCCCAAACGATTCCCAAATGATTGCAATAATAAAAAATAAGAAATATCAAATTTGTCTGCTAAGTATACAGTGGTATTCTGATTGGCTACCTTGTAAAGCCCAAATCACACTAGCGGCTCGCGGCTGCGATTGCGTTTGTGATTGTGATTTGCTACGCTCTAATTATTATTATTATTATTATTATATAACTTAATTATAATTATAATTATAATTATAATTAAATTATAATTATAATCTATATATATATATAATCTATGTATTTATTCTACAAAAATATATATGTAAAACATATATAAGACATATATAACATATATAAGACATTTCTACTTACCGTGGTTACAAGAAATTATAATATGCACTTATTTAAACTTAATATTAACACAACCACTTTGATTGACAGCTCTGTCAGGCTATACGTGTGACGTTTGTGTTCTAACATGGCGGCTATTTTAATCGACCAATCAGGAGGAGGAACAAGTTGGCGCCTCTCTGATAATCTAGGGTTGCGTTCGGGGAGACGCTATTAGCGCTAACAGCGTCGTTCTATCTTTGTTATTTATTGAAAGTTGAACAAGAACAGAGCACGCTCATAGCGCTAAAAGCGTGCTCTTCGAACGCAGCCTAGGGGTGCGTTCGGGGAGACGCTATTAGCGCTAACAGCGTCGTTCTATCTTTGTTACTTATTGAAAGTTGAACAAGGACAGAACACGCTCATAGCGCTAAAAATGTGCTCCCCGAACGCAGCCTAGGACTCTATGTATCAGCAAGTAGAAATTCCAAGGATCCGACCCCGAAAATCAAAGTGACAAAAAGGAGAAAAAAAAGAAGAATAAAAGAAAGGAAGACAGAAAATGATAATTAATATTGTATACCTGTGACGGTTTGTGGTTTGTGTCACGATTGCCCTTTAACCATGACAGACGATATACACGATACGCGCGCCACTATTGCATTTCTGTGGAAGAAAAATAACACGTGGCATCTCTCAAGATTGATGTATGATATAAGAGTACACAGCAATTAATTGATCTTGCAGGATTCATCTAATAGATAGCGTTTGGTGAAGACGAAACACTTAGCACAAATAGGATATTTTAATTCCATAACGCACGATAAGATTATCAAAATGATATGCTATTCTGACAGATTGTGATGTCAGTCGATAAACGCGGCAAATTCGTGCCATCCAGGTCACATTTCGCAAACTCATGCTCGTGAGTACACATATTAGAATCTTTAGGACACATTCGAATCTTTCAAAACGATTTTCAAGTAATAGCGAATTCGGTCACTTACACTAATTCACACCAGTGCACATTAAAGGCTGCTATTTATGAAGTATATGAATGCAATGATATAATATATAAACATTTTGATGATGAAAAAATAATGTATGTTCTGTTAAATAAAATGACAATTTATCATGATTGGATTTTAATTACTTAAAATGTTTATATTATTCTTTTTTATTAGATAACTTCACATGTATAGGCACATTCATGTTTTGTTCGGATGTGCACAACGATGGATAATCGAGATCTTCTTTTTTTTCTTCGAATTTTTATTGGCACCGGATATAACCAAGAACGAGCACGTGAAAATAAATCAATAAAAGATGGTGTGAGAAAGATTACGCGAAACCCATCGGAAACTACAGCAAACTAATGGAATCAATGGAATTATTGTACATGTATACGACGCAGCTGGTGTCGCTAGTTTATATGCATGAAGATGCGTGTGCTCGATGTCGATTGGTATGGGTGTGCGCGTGTCGTTCATTATGGGTGCGTTCGGGGAGACGCTATTAGCGCTAACAGCGTCGTTCTATCTTTGTTACTTATTGAAAGTTGAACAAGGACAGAACACGCTCATAGCGCTAAAAATGTGCTCCCCGAACGCAGCCTAGGACTCTATGTATCAGCAAGTAGAAATTCCAAGGATCCGACCCCGAAAATCAAAGTGACAAAAAGGAGAAAAAAAAGAAGAATAAAAGAAAGGAAGACAGAAAATGATAATTAATATTGTATACCTGTGACGGTTTGTGGTTTGTGTCACGATTGCCCTTTAACCATGACAGACGATATACACGATACGCGCGCCACTATTGCATTTCTGTGGAAGAAAAATAACACGTGGCATCTCTCAAGATTGATGTATGATATAAGAGTACACAGCAATTAATTGATCTTGCAGGATTCATCTAATAGATAGCGTTTGGTGAAGACGAAACACTTAGCACAAATAGGATATTTTAATTCCATAACGCACGATAAGATTATCAAAATGATATGCTATTCTGACAGATTGTGATGTCAGTCGATAAACGCGGCAAATTCGTGCCATCCAGGTCACATTTCGCAAACTCATGCTCGTGAGTACACATATTAGAATCTTTAGGACACATTCGAATCTTTCAAAACGATTTTCAAGTAATAGCGAATTCGGTCACTTACACTAATTCACACCAGTGCACATTAAAGGCTGCTATTTATGAAGTATATGAATGCAATGATATAATATATAAACATTTTGATGATGAAAAAATAATGTATGTTCTGTTAAATAAAATGACAATTTATCATGATTGGATTTTAATTACCTAAAATGTTTATATTATTCTTTTTTATTAGATAACTTCACATGTATAGTAGTCTTTAATATGCACCAGTGCGGCGCAGTGCAAATGACTGAATTTGCTATAAGATAATTAATTTATACCCGAAAAACACAGTTATGTTGATGTAATATTGCTGTTGTGAGTAAAAGTAGTATAACTTGTAATGCTAGTAATTGCTGTGTAATATTGCTGATTTATAATTGCTTGTAACTTGTAATTGTTGTGTAATATTGCTGATTTGTGTGTTTACTGGGTAACTATTACATTTACATATATCTTTGTTTGCAGAACACGAACAGCTATTTTTAAATAAAAATTCTCCAATAATCAGAAAATGAGTCAATTGCAGACTCATTTAATTGCTGCTGCTATCGGAGCAACTATTGGTGTTATAAGTGCAGCTAGTATCTTCATTTATCAGAAAGTTTTGGAGAAACAACAACATGCTATGAAAAACGCTCACTTAGACGAAGTCGACCGTCGTCTTACAGAGTTACAAACAGAATTGGAAAGATTAAGGTAACAATAAATGCAATTATCTCTTTTTTAATTAATGTTTTAGATTATATATGGGAAGAGAGGATATATATCTAAAATATTCAGTCAAATATTGTATTAAATATAATTGATTAATTAGATGTTGAGATAGTTTATAAATCTAAATAGATATTAGACTTTTTCTACTATTTTATACAAATTATAATTTTCAATGTCTGTATATGTGTGTTTTGATAAAAATATTTGGGGATTTATATTTAGATAACATTTTTTCATCAGAATGATTAATGATACATTAGTAAAATTTTGGGAAAATCAAATACTTTAAGAATATTCTAACTATTTTTGATTGAGAATCTATTATAAAATAATATATTCTTTGTCTTATTTTAGAATACAACAAGATCAACAGAGAAAGAAGAAGCTTAGTCGTAAACATGATAATGATAATACATTTACTGTAACGGATAATGATACTGATGGCTTTTCAACAGCAGCCACAGATATTGATGATGAATTTTTTGATTGTTCAGATAGTGAAAATAATATAAGCGACATTGAAAATAGGTCAGTTTATTAATACATTTATTATTCGCTTTGTTTATATCTACAATTATAAATTCGATTTATGAAGAGCATTTTTGTATATATTCAAATAGATTGCTTTAGATTGAAAGTTATTTTGTTTAGATAACATAAGGACATAAGATTAATTTATGTCTTCTAAAAAAAATCCTATGTTAGTACGGTAGAAGTCTTAACTTTCTTTTCTTTGTTACAAAAATCACAAATTTTCAAAACTTAAAAAGAAAAGATTACATTATATGCTTAGTGATTCAGGACAATTGAAACCACCTACTTTGGATTAAACTTTTGCATCTTCGATGTACGTTACCATCATGAGGGATACGAAGAAGATGATTATCTCAAACTACGAAGTTTCACAGATAGTTATCCAAATAATGTAGATGTAGTATGGAGATATGCCAGAAGTTGTTACAAATATTCGAATTGTATTACTGATCCAAATGCAAAAAAAGTTACAATTTGTACAGGTGCATAATTTAATTTATACACCAATTGAATCTCTGCAATGTTTAATTATAATAATCATCTTCCCAGGAATTAACGCTTGTGAGAAGCTTCTTAATATATCAAATGCGGATCTACATAAATGGTATGCTATACTCGTAGGTGTATATGGTGAATTTTTGCCAATAACAGAGAAAATAAAGAACGGTTACCGTTTCAAGGAACATGTAATGAAAGCCTTAAAAATAAATCCAAATGATGCTGATTTACATCATCTACTTGGCAGATTCAAATATGAGGTGGCTAACTTAAGTTGGATAGAAAGAAAGGTATATATTTTGATTATGATTTAAAAGCTCGCATAATGTTGAATATACAAAATATCCTTCACTAAATGCATTTTCTTTGGATTACAGCTAAATTCGAATCGATTTTCCCTTTACAAAAATATCAATTTTCTTTACAAGATATCCATAGCTTTTAAAGTATAATTATATTAAATTAATATAATACTGAAAATACACAGAGCTTTCTTAAAATTAAGAGAAAAAAAAAAAAATAGATATGCAATCATATTCGATTAATTTTAAGAGTAGATCTTACATTTTGATAGAAGTTTTTAATTTCAATCTTATTTATACACGAGAATATATAATCTCTGTAAAAATATAATCTCAATATTCATGCTAAAAGAAAATGCGCTTAATGTAAGATACTTATGATATACATGTATAACACTAATCTTTTTCTGGTCATTTTTGTTGTGGTAATAAGGTCGCCGCAACATTATTCTCGGAGCCACCAAGTGCCTCATATGAAGATGCAATTGATAGCTTCCAGAAAGCGGAGAACTTTTCAGTCGAAGTAAATCTGCAAAATCGATTATTTCTAAGTAAATGTTATATAGCATTGAGCAAGTATGAATTGGCTTGCGATTGGCTGGAGAAAATTTGCGACTTTTCAGTTGTGAGCAAAGACGATGAAAAGATACAAAACGATGCTCGTCAACTTCTTACCAAATATTCGAGATATCATCAGTAGCATGGGAGTTTTAATAGATCTGGATATATTCATGTTTTAAATATATTAATCACGTAATATACGTAAATAATTTATAGAATATAAGAAAGGGATATGAGGAAGGGAAAGGAAATGTACAAGCAATTTTAAAATTATATGGAGAAATATATAACAATTTTATTATCGATAAACTTTTATATATAAAACTCTAAAATGGTTATTACATATCTTTGTTGATAAAAAGTATTAAATAGCATGAAATGTGTTTTAGGAAACAAATCTCTAACGAAATATTAAGAAAATGTTTTAAAATTTGCTCATTTTATTTTTGGCAATTTTGTCATATAAATATGTTGGGCATATTGTGCTTTATATTATGTATTTTTTATATTAAAAAAAAAACTAAATTTACTATTATATTATATTACAGTTATGATTTTATCTTTTTATTATCTATTTCCTAAAAATAATGCAATATAGTATATAAATAATTGAGCAAGTCGTTTAATATATTCATCAACGAATCTTCAATCTCCCTCATCCTCCTTTTCACTCTTTCGCTTTCTCTCTCACTCTTCTCTCCTATATAATTATAAATATTTGCGATATATTTTAATTCGCAAGAATGATAAAAAGACCAACTTATATTCAAAAAAGACAAAATTTTATATGTTGTGTATAGGAGATGTTATATAAATATATAAATACACCTGTAGATCTACACTATATTATAAAGAAGTAAAGTTTGTTCCATTGTTCGGGGTAATCTCAGAAACTACTGAATCGATTTGAAAAAATCTTTCACTGATGGATAGCTTAGATCTTCATGAATAACATAGGCTATACAATATCATCGCGCTGCAAGGGGCTGTCTAGGAGCCGAGCAGTAAAGAAGAACGTGCATGAAGTATCGAGCGCGCAAGGAAAAAACGCCAGCTAGTATATATACAGGGTATATCATTTTAAGTGATGCAGCTGAATATCTCTTAAAGTAAAAGAGATTGGAAAAAATGTTTCAGACAAAAGTTGCATGATTTCGAGGGGGCCACATGATAAAAATATGGACTTGACCTTGAGTGACCTTTTCGAAGTGTATTCTGTACATAAAAGTATTACAGTAAGATTATCGAAAACTAAATATATTGTTTTTTATATCAAAATATGTCAGATTAAGATATAAAAAATAACTCAAAAAGTACTTAATGAAAAAATACTTTATTACAGTGTTTTGAAAAGCTCTCGAGATAAGCTACAAGAATATGCAATAAAAAATGAGGGGTTCCATTTAAGAAAACATCGATCACATTGACTTGGCCTTGAAAAGATCACTCAAGATCAGGTCCATATTTTCATCATGTGTCCCCCTCCGAACCATACAACTTTTGTCTAAATTATTTTTGTCTTAAACTTATAGATTTTAAGATATTTTAGTGGATACATTAAAATGGCCTATGTTACCTCTTAATAGTGTGCGGTTCGGGGTTTGAATGCAATAGCGAGGTTACCCCGTTTCACTTCCAAATCATAAAATTTTCAGGTCCGTAATAATATATATCGTTTCGTCCACACATTATTTTCCAGTAGACCACCGGGAGAAATATCACGTCTGTGTTACGTCATTATTTAGTCGACTGACGTCATATGACGAGAAATGATCTTAAAATGACGTTATAATGACGACACCTTGAGTTATGTGGTTGGATTATTACCCACTCACATGCGTAACGTAACGTGCGTCACACGTAAGGAAGGGATTTTGCGCGCTACAATTCGAAATGTGCTATTTTTGTGCGAGATTCCACTATAATATGTATAATAATAATTTTTTTTTCTTTACAGCGATCAAAATATTTTTAATTCCGACGGCGCCAAGTTTTTTGCATTAAATTTTTAACTTTTGATGTACTTTAAATTATATTGTCTTTATCAAGCGTATTGTCTTTCCATTATAAAATAGTATATATTTTAAAATATATACTTACATCACGTCAATATAAAATAATATATATTGCTATCAATATATATAAATTAAATTATATAGTGTATATAAGAGTTTTTTATTTTCAATGATCACAATTTTCTGATATTATATTTGTAGAAAAGGTAAATTTAATTAATTTTCGTTTTTTAGCTTTTTTTGAAAAGATAATTTTTTTAATGATAATAAGAACACGCGATAACCCCAGGTTTCTTATTAATAGATGATAGTAATATCTCCTCTTATAGGCCACGTAGAGTAAAAATAAAAATTCTTTTGTTATATATATATGACGAACCCAAGCTATCGATTAAACTTATTAAAAACTTTATCAGTTCAACTGTTACTAACGTAAAATCCGATAATCTAAAATACTCGCAACTGAATCGATTGTATATAGATATACGCGCTTCCGTTTTGCTGTTGTTACGCGTAGCTTTTTTGCTGCACTTAACGCGAGACATTACTGTATCTCTTGATAAATATTGTGTTAAAATCGAATATTAAAAAAACTAGCGCAGAATAAAAATGTCAATAGTATGATAGATCATGTATGAAGAATATAGTTTATTGTGTCAGATGCAGAACTCTCCAATCCTTTTATTGAAATGATACAGTCCTCCTATACTCAACAAATCAATAATGGTCCAACACAGCATCTACCAACTCAACCTGATAGAGACCAGACCGAGAGTGAGGGCGAAAGGGGTTGAGCAGGGAGAAGCCTCTGTAATAAAATCAGGAGGAAGCCAGTAAAGACACAGTATTTTCTAAGGAAACAGTAGAGACTCAATGTTCATAAAAGGTGCTTCCATTGCACAGTGCACATGTGAAAGTGAGTTTTGAAATATTGCATTTTAATGCATCTTTTTTTGCTGTCTCTATTTCAGAAGAACGTGAAAAATCGATTTAAATTTTCGTATTTCTTTATACGGATTAAATATGAGATATCATTTTTTGGAGTTCTTGTGTAAATGTTGTTGTTAATAATTAAGTGGAAATACTGGCAGATATAAAAATCAAGGCGCGAGTATTGGTGCGCGAACTTATTATAATTAAATTTTATTAACAAATGTGTATTAAAAATGTACGTTTTAGACCGTTTTTTGGTCCATCTTCAGCATGGATATAAATATATAAAAATTAAATTGGAATTTTGTCCATTAATTTGTATAGATTCTACGCGGGTTTCAGTGAGCCTTCCTTTCTAATTATTAATTTTAATTTGAAATTTTACTGCAACAATAAATATTGTGCATGTCAAGTTTTAAAATTCCAATTTAATTTTTATATATTTATATTCATGCTGAAGATGGACCAAAAAACGGTCCGAAACGTGTACGTATATTTTTAATACACTAATCTGTTAACAAAATTTAACAATAATAACTTTGCGCACCAATACCCGCGCCTTGGCTCTTATCTGCCAGTATCCAGTATTCCCACTTAATTGTTTGTACCCTGAGCCTATTGCTGTTATCGTTGTTAATAATATCGCTGTCATCGTCGACGAATGAATATTCTAAGCACAAATGCACGTGGCGAAGATCGTGAATTGTGTATGAAATCAGCCGAATATTTTATACTCAGGTATATATATATATATATTGCATATTATTTTCAGGATCTCCATTTCGAGACTGTAATGCGCGGTATTTTACGTGGTACATTATACTGTGCTTTGTGTTACGGTAGTATAGTAGCAGGCTTCTTATTCATTGCCTGTCCGCTTCTACCATTATTGTTATTTAGTCCGCCAAGATTTCGAAAATGTGGAGACCTCTTATTTTCGTGTTGGGAACTTTATCCTACCGTAAGCAGATCTATTATAATAGTACAAATAATATAAAATAGTACAAAAAAGTAATATTACAAATCGTATTACACAGAGTTATAATCGAGCTTCGATCGTTCTCGATTATAAAAATCTGAAATTTATAGAAACTTAAATATCTTTTTATAGGCTCTATTGAATGTGTTCGGCGTAAAAATCTATGTGTCCGGTGATCATATATCCCCTCATGAGTCGGCTGTGCTCGTGATGAATCACAGAACAAGAGTAGACTGGAACTTCTTATGGGCGGCAATGTATCAAGCATGTATGCCCAATGTAGCTTGTCATAGATTGAAATTTATTTTAAAGGACCCTATACGTCATATTCCTGGTCCTGGTAAGGCATTTTCATTTCTTCTCGTATATATGATGTTAGATTCTCGTAATTGCTGATACAATTGCTGGGAAAGTGATGATTTTACATAAAAAAATAAGTCAAAAATATAAAATAATATTATTTTATATAAGGCTTTGTTTCCGAGAAACAAAATTAATTCTAAAATTAGAAAAATTCAGAACATATCTACGTTTTTTAAATTTAAGTGACTTCTAATAAGCTTTTCTCGACAGTGACTTTTAAAATACACATATACATACGCGCGTACGTACGAACATATACATACATACATACATATATATGTATGTATATATAAACAGGGTGTCCCACCAAAAGTGGCCACACCCTTTTATCTTTCTATGATCAAATGATAACATGACATATGTCAATCTCTAATGCACGAGTCAGAAGTTGTCCATAACGCAGGATAGAAAGTGAAAAGGTAGATGTCGCCGGCAATATTTCAAGTCGATAAAACTCGTATAATATGTAAAATATTTACATTATATCATACATTGTTATATTCGTAGCGCTACAATTTTTATCATATCGAAATATCCACATTATTATATATATATGATATATATATATATATATATATATATATATATATATATATATGTATATACAGGGTGTTCGATAAGTAAGTGACCAAACGAAAGGTGGAGGTAGATTGGGTCAAACTGAGTCGAAAAGTCCTGAATCATTTTTTTTTATAATGCTTAATAAAGGAGTTATTACTGAGTAAAATCTGACCGATCAGCTCCGATCTTTAGCCGGGCATACGTCGGTGAGCCGCGCGCCGTGAAGTGTGCGCTGCCACATGCTACCAGGCGCGCGGTTCACCGACGTGCGCCCGGCTAAAAGTTGGCGCTGATTGGTCAGATTTTACTCACTAATAACTCCTTTATTAAGCGTTATAAAAAAAATGGACCCAATCTACCTCCACCTTTCGTTTGGTCACTTACTTGTCGGACACCCTGTATATATATACATACATATTTATGCACACACACACACACACACTCGCTCACCCACCCACCCACACACACACACGTATGTATGTGTATATATACAGGGTATCATTTTAAGTGATGCAGCTGAATATCTCTTAAAGTAAAAGAGATTGAAAAAAATTTTTTAGACAAAAGTTGCATGATTTCGAGGGGGCCACATGATAAAAATATGGACTTGACCTTGAGTGACCTTTTCAAGCTGAGGTCAATGTGATCGATGTTTTATTAAATGGAACTCCCCATTTTTTATTGCATATTCTTGTAGCTTATCTCGAAAATTTTTCAAAACACTATAATAAAGTATTTTTTTATTAGGTACTTCTTGAGTTATTTTATATTTTAATCTGACATATTTTGATAAAAAAATTAAAATATCTTGTAAAATATTTAGTTTTCGATAATTTTACTGTAATACTTTTATGTACAGAATAATGAGACTAAGATCAGATTAAGATATAAAAAATAACTCAAAAAGTACGTAATGAAAAAATTGTTTCACCTTGAAAAGGTCACTCAAGGTCAAATCCATATTTTTATCATGCGGCCCCCTCCGAACCCTATAACTTTTGTTTGAAACATTTTTTTCCTGAAGATCGAAGGTCATTGACAGGCTTGTGTTTGCACTGTAAACAAAGCTTTGCGTTAGCATTTCCGTCACAAAACCCATATAAGTACACCATATCGGCATATTCACTAATCGAATACGTATGAGGCATGATTGTACTAGTTTATTCCACTAAAGCATTCAAAGAACTAACAATTATTTGGTACAAATGTATGGAGTTTTGTTTACAGTGCAAACACAAGCCTGTGAATGACTTTCGATCTTCAAAACAAAAATAAAAAGAAACACTTCGAAATTATTCGTTCCTATAGTTCATAACTTCAGAAGTCAATATCTCTTGAACGAAGCGTTTGCGAGCATACTTCCAGAGGAAAATTTTTTCTTATTTTAAAATCCTAAATTCATATTTCAAGTTTGGCCATTTAACCCGGGAACACCCTGTATATTTAAATATTTATGTAAATGCTTGGGCAGGAAGGGGCAGAGCCCCTCCCTCATCCACACATTTACTTTGCAATGACTATATACAGACAATAATTTAATACTAATGTTTATCACGGATGTGTGTGTGTGTTATTGGTTATTTATATATAATATTCAGAATTGGGTATGTTAATTCTTTTTTTTAACTAAGTTAAGTTTAAAGTTAATGGCCCAAGAATTAACTAACAAGAGACATACCACAACTGTCTGGAACCGATTTGGTTCTCCTTGAAATATGTTGTTAAACACAAAAATCTAAGAGACACGTATTTTTTTATATGTGCGGACTTTCATGTTTAGGGAGTAAAACACTCCTTTAAAAAAAAACGGTGTTTCCTTTTGGGATCGAATATCGTCGAGACGATAAGAGATAGAAAAAAAATTATTAAACAAAAGTTTAACGGCTTGAAGACTATTTTAAAGTTAAGAGAAAAAAATTTTTTTATTTTTATTTTTTTTTCAAGAAACCCCCACCACTTAAAATTTTTTTTCAAAGTTTTATAACTTTTTTTCACCGAATTAATGGTTTATTTTTTTCCAAATTCAACCATGTGTAATAAAGTTACGTTACGAAATATCATTTTCAAGAATTAATTATAAACGCCTCCGTATGTATACGCTATCCATGCTCATCCGTGCGTAAGTAATTTATTGTCAAAACAATAGAAGATATATAAAAAAATGTTTTAAGTAAAATTTTTATAATTTTCTACATATATACTTTATAACTGTATATATATATACAGGGTGTCCGGTAATTTTTGACACGAAGTGTGAAGGTAGATTGGCTCAAACTAATTCGGAAAGTCCTGAACCATTTTATTTGATAACGCTTAATAAAGGAGTTATTATTGAGTAAAGTCTGGCCAATCAGCACCAACATTTAACCGGGCGCACGTCGGTGAGCCGCGCGCCGTGAAGTGTGCGCCGTGAAGTGTGCGCCGCTGCATACTACCAGGCGCGCGGCTCACCGATGTGCGCCCGGCTAAAAGTCGGCGCTGATTGGCCAGACTTTACTCAATAATAACTCCTTTATTAAGCGTTATAAAAAAGATGATACAGGACTTTTCTTTTCGTTTGACCCAATCTACCTTCACACTTCGGGTGTGTCAAAAATTACCGGACACCCTGTATATATATGTACATATAATTAGATTTTCTAAAAATGTAATAATTATTAAAATACCTCCAGCTCTATTATTATTTCTTTGACATTTAATTTCTTCTATGAATAAAGATTAAAGACAATTTTATTCCAAATTTATCCACTTATAATAAAATTATTTTTTTTTAATTTAATCTTTGAGAAATAAGCGAAAAAATCGCTATATGTGTCGCAGCGCTTGCGGCTTTTTGCACCGCGCGACACAATTGATATTTCTAACATTACAGATTATAAAGAATATTGAGAGTTATGATAGTTTTTATTATTTCTCCTTAAAGTTATTAAAACTTTTGTTTTTTATTCATCTCTGTAAATTATTTCCTTATAATATCTTAAGATTATTCTCTTAACTATTTTTGTTCTTACGTCTTATTTTTTTGTAGTCATCTCTTATATTCTTATGTTTAATGTTATAATTCATTTAAAAAATACTATACTTATTTCAAAAGTTCATTGGATTGCTCAACAATCACCTTTGAAAAATTTGTCACGATTGTGATACAAGATGTATGATCTTGATTTTAAAAGAATATCTCTCATATGAGAATCGTGACATATTACAAATTTTTTAAAAATGACATTGTTCCTCCTGCACACGTGCGTTTTATCTTTATCTTTAATTGTTAGATATTCTAACAATAAATTGAAACAATTTAAAAATATTTATTGAATTTTAATAAAAGTGTCATCTCAAAATTACAGTTCGTCATTTTTCTTCTTAAGTTATCATATACTAAATCACTTGTACTAAACATACGCTCTACGTGCGCCGAGGATGGTATCGTTGTGTTGTATTTTATGAATGCATGTTTTAATGGTACTGGATACTGTCTTATGTTATTATAATTATTAGTAAACAGATCATTTTCAAGTATCAAAGATACAAAATTTTAACTTGTATAAAAGAAGTTAATAAGTTAATGTTAATGCATTTAAAAGTAACTAGTTTAAGTTAAAAGTTAACACGTTTAAAATTAAGTAAATTAAATTAAAAGTTATTAACTTTTCAACTTTTTAACTTAACTTTTAACTTTTTAATTAGTTACTATCCAACCCTGATAATATTACAAATAATAAATAAGAAAAATATTGATTTTCATCATTCGTTTATGTGGTTATGTTTTTTATTAATAACTTTTTAACAAACAACGAGCGACGACTAAAATTGTTTGGATATTACTCAGGATTATGACTTCGACAACATATGTCAAGATCATTGACTTTTGCAAGGGTTGATCTAATGTAAATATTAATTTTTTTTATTAAAGATAAATTATTTATTAATTTTGTAAAAATAATTTTTTTTGTCAGGTATGACAATATTGTTACTCATTATTTCTCCGATCTTTCAATTGTGGGCTTTGATTCACGCAACGTTTTTCATCGGACTGTCAATTCTCAGTACAAGTTTTAATCAGATTGAGATTGGGTGGTATTGGCGCTGGAAAAACCGCACTTTTCGAACTAAACATAGTTAGTCGAAAGATATTATATCTTAATTTATAAAATTCATTGAAGAATCTTAGCTCTTTATCTCTGTGATAACATTGTATATAAAATCGTAAAAATGAAAAGAAAAGCACATTATTACGAGAATTTTGTGCAATATCATAATTTTAATGTAATCGTAACTCGTGACATACAATTGTTTCAATTATTTTACATTTTTATGTCTTGATATATATATATCGTAGAACTTTAAAAATATAATAGTAGTGTACAGTGAAAAAATGGGAACATATACAGTTTGGTATTAAAAATCTGTTTGCAAAATTGAAAAATACCGATATACAAATAATATTTTTGTTACTTATGTTAATCTTTATTTTTAAAAATCGGATTTGTATTTGAATTATTATCGAAATTATGTAATGTTCGGAATTCATCTCTTATTGCA